TTTGCAACACAGAGGAAATGCTACCAGCTTCTTTGCAATCTACAAACTCTGAAGTTCCTTATTCTTCAATTGCTAGTATTGAATTTAACTCTTCCTTTGCCATCAGTAAGGCCTGAATGTATGAGTACAATAAACTTATTCCACGTGATTTATTAATGAAAACATAAAGAAAAATACATGAAACTTTTGTGCAATTATAGTGAACTTTTGCCAAGTTAGTATAATAAAAGTAAAAGAACCTTCTAGAGATTTATTTTAACAAAAGACAAATGATTCACGAATCAGCATAGCAGCTATTTAAAAATACAGTAGTGCTAGAGGCCTCGAATTCGGTTTAGGGTTGAGGTCCGGCGGGCGGCCAAGGCAAGGCTGTCGCCCGCCGATAAAGCGAAATTACTAGGTACTTAACCTACCTCTGATACCATGTTAGAAGAGTAGAGAGAGAGAAAAAAAATAATATGTATTGTATTGAATAAATTGTCATATACAATAAAAGGCCTGTATATATAGGCTGAGAAAAAGTATCCTACTAGAAATCTAACTATGAGAAAGAGTATCCTATGAGAGACCTAACTATGGCAATACCTAATATATCTAGGAAATCAATACCAAATATATGTATGAATATATACCATATATACATTAACAAGGATGATAGTCTATCAATAATGGAGCTGTAGATTATTTACTTCCTATTGACATTACTATTAATAATTTTGCAGGAGGATATTCTAAGGCTAGATGAATGGTTACTTTGTAGCTCCAAATTAGCTCAAGGTCCATAGGAACCACCTTCTTTGTAATTGACTCAACATCCAATTATAACCTCTTACTTGAAAGAGACTGGAAAGGAAGGTAAACAAAACATGGAGATTATTAGTAGTAGTAGTAAATAATATACAACACCCAGAGCAAATCAGAGGTTAATGTCATGGACCATCATTTTTGCTTACCCAGCTTCTCTAAGTAAGGTTAGGCTTTGGACATGATCGAGGGCCTTTCTCCCAATCATGGCAAGCTAGTTTCATTGGTTTAGTAGAAGTTCTTTAGTATTCGCAATTGGGTAGTATTGAGTTAATTGGTCAGGGAAGGTTAAGTTAAAAGGTTGGACCCAAGCTACGTTGAGTAGTTGTCGATGTGTTGGGGAGAATACATGCATTGGATTTGTGTTGCTTAAGGATTTCTTTGATTTTAGTTGGGAAACGACGACTTAGGAGTGTTTCTAAAGTTGTTTGGATTGCCTCCTGTATATATAGGCTGAGAAAGAGTATCCTACTAGAAATCTAACTATGAGAAAGAGTATCCTATGAGAGACCTAACTATGGCAATACCTAATATATCTAGGAAATCAATACCAAATATATGTATGAATATATACCACATATACATTAACAAGGATGATAGTCTATCAATAATGGAGCTGTAGATTATTTACTTCCTACTGACATTACTATTAATAATTTTGCAGGAGGATATTCTAAGGCTAGAGGAGTGGTTACTTTGTAGCTCCAAATTAGCTCAAGGTCCATAGGAACCACCTTCTTTGTAATTGACTCAACATCCAATTATAACCTCTTACTTGGAAAGAGACTGGAAAGGAAGGTAAACAAAACATGGAGATTATTAGTAGTAGTAGTAAATAATATACAACACCCAGAGCAAATCAGAGGTTAATGTCATGGACCATCATTTTTGCTTACCCAGCTTCTCTAAGTAAGGTTAGGCTTTGGACATGATCGAGGGCCTTTCTCCCAATCATGGCAAGCTAGTTTCATTGGTTTAGTAGAAGTTCTTTAGTATTCGCAATTGGGTAGTATTGAGTTAATTGGTCAGGGAAGGTTAAGTTAAAAGGTTGGACCCAAGCTACGTTGAGTAGTTGTCGATGTGTTGGGGAGAATACATGCATTGGATTTGTGTTGCTTAAGGATTTCTTTGATTTTAGTTGGGAAACGACGACTTAGGAGTGTTTCTAAAGTTGTTTGGATTGCCTTGGAATGTGATTTCTTTGGAGCCATGGTTAAGGTTCAAAGGTTGTGAGAACTGAAAGTAGGGTAAGAGTGAAGTAAATAGGGAAAAAATTGAATTTCTCTTTATAATTTTTGATGGGCCTATTGTTTGGGCTTAAATGTTTGTAGCCCAATTCGATAAGGCTTGTTTTACAATCTTTGCTTTATTGTTGTCCACAATTTAGGCTTATTATCATTTAACGCAAAAATTATTTATCTTAAATGAGGGACATTGTTGGTAGACAAAGATGGTGACATGGCCTAGGAATGTTTGTTGATGGCCTAAAGTGGAGCATGTAGAGTGGACAAGTGTTTCTTTGAAGCATGTATGTAACGGCTCGGGTCGAAACCCGACCTGTATTTCTTTTTTTGTATAGAGAATAATCCTAGAGAATGTCATAAATATTAAAAAATCAAGGCAAATCAAACAAAAAAGCAAGTATCCAAGGGCTCAATGAAGATTGTGCATCACAATTTACATCGACGTTACATTCATTTTATATGGTTGCATTAAAAAGGTTTCTCTATCAAAATTAGGTCATGTCGAACCATTATAGAAACTGGTTGAAACTAATGCCAGGACAGTTTAAAGGGGTCATGACAAACCGATGTAAGAGCTAATTGGAATCAACGTCAGGACAGTTTACGAGGTCATGTCGGACCATTGTAGAGATTGGATGTTAAACCAACAAACGTGGCACACACATAACTTATGACGTGGTGTTGAACGATGATGGCAACAGATGACTGAGTACACTAAGAAGAAACTTGAATGGTGCGCAAGGGGGCGGCTTGGGTTGTGCGCCAGAGAGTGTGGCTTGGATTGTGCACCAAAGGAGGCAGCTAGGTGGTTTGCATGGTGTATAACTATGATCATCATGATATAGGTATAATACCCCTCCCTCAAACTCAAATAGGTTTGAAGATAGAAACCAATTTGAAGTGGAAGCAGAGGGAAAGATATAGTGGACAAAAAAAAAGATGTATTACAAGTAAAAAAAAATAAAAAATGATGAAGATATTTGGGGTAGGAATAAACCAGCGGATAAAGGAAGAGATCACCATGAAGCGATACTGATAAGAAAATATGACAGCGAAATAGGTTGAGGTCTGGCGGGCAGCCAAGGCAAGGCTGTCGCCCGCCGATAAAGTGAAATTACTAAATATTTAACCTAGCTCTGATACCATGTTAGAAGAGTAGAGAGAGAAAAAAATAATATGTATTTTATTGAATAAATTGTCATATACAATAGAAGGCCTGTATATATAGGCTGAGAAAGAGTATCCTACTAGAAATTTAACTATGAGAAAGAGTATCCTATAAAAGACCTAACTATGGCAATATCTAATATATCTAGGAAATCATTGCCTAATACATGTAGAAATATATACCATATATACATTAACAAGGATGATAGTCTATCAATAATGGAGCTGTAGATTATTTACTTCCTACTGACGTTACTATCAATAATTTTGCAGGAGGATATTCTAAGGCTAGAGGAATGGTTACTTTGTAGCTCCAAATTAGCTCAAGGTCCATAGGAACCACCTTCTTTGTAATTGACTCAACATCCAATTATAACCTCTTACTTGAAAGAGACTGGAAAGGAAGGTAAACAAAACATGGAGATTATTAGTAGTAGTAGTAAATAATATACAACACCCAGAGCAAATCAGAGGTTGATGTCATGGACCATCATTTTGCTTACCCAGCTTCTCTAAGTAAGGTTAGGCTTTAGCCATGATCGAGGGCCTTTCTCCCAATCATGGCAAGCTAGTTTCATTGGTTTAGTAGAAGTTCTTCAGTATTCGCAATTGGGTAGTATTGAGTTAATTGGTCAGGGAAGGTTGAGTTAAAAGGTTGGACCCAAGCTACGTTGAGTAGTTGTCGATGTGTTGGGGAGAATACATGCATTGGATTTGTGTTGCTTAAGGATTTCTTTGATTTTAGTTGGGAAACGATGACTTAAGAGTGTTTCTAAAGTTGTTTGGATTGCCTTGGAGTGTGATTTCTTTGGAGCCATGGTTAAGGTTCAAAGGTTGCGTGAACTGAAAGTAGGGCAAGAGTGAAGTAAATAGGGAAAAAATTGAATTCCTCTTTATAATTTTAGTTTGGGCTTAAATGTTTGTAGCCCAATTCGATAAGGCTTGTTTTACAATCTTTGTTTTAATGTTGTCCACAATTTAGGCTTATTATCGTTTAAGGCAAAAATTATTTATCTTAAATGAGGGGCATTGTTGGTAGACAAAGATGGTGACATGGCCTCGGATTGTTTGTTGATAGCCTAAAGTGGAGCATGTAGAGTGGACAAGTGTTTCTTCGAAGCATGTATGTAACGGCTCGAGTCGAAACCCGACTTTTATTTCTTTTTTTGTATAGAGAATAATCTTAGAGAATGTCATAAAGATTAAAGAATCAAGGCAAATCAAACAAAAAAGCAAGTAACCAAGGGCTCAATGAAGATTGTGCATTACAATTTACATCGGCGTTGCATTCATTTTATATGGTTGCATTAAAGAGGTTTTTCTGTCAAAAGTAGACTAGTCTGAAAATTTTCTAAGTGTGAAAATTGGATTTTTCAAAACTCACAATTTTGAAGATAATTTTTCACGGTAATTGTTCCTCATATATTAAATAGTCTAAATTAATTTTATGATATTTTTTTACTAAGCATTAGTCATTTCGCTTCAAACGTCAAGTTTAGTATTTGTAGTCAAAAAATTATTTTTGTATTGACTTATTTGGATTTGGATTTTTTACTATTTTTCTCTGAATCTAAACGGGAAATACTAAACAGGAGATACTGCATTATTTACATTATAAATTTAAGTAAATGAAATATCTATATCTATATCTATATTTATATTTATATTTATATACAATATATATAAAGCACCGATCTATAGTGAACAGTGTTTTCTGCCTCGAATGAACAGTACCATCTCATCGGTTGAAATGTCTGTTTTGCCACTTGGTCTCTAAGCCTATAAACAAACCAAACCAACAAAACACAAATCATGCTTGTGTTGCCCAGAGAAGAGAGAGAGAGAAGAAATCGAAGGAGACGGAGGAGGAAGACCCACCGGTGACTACCGCCACCGTCGACATCTGCCCGAGGCAGCTAAGCAGCAAACAAGCTCTTGCACTTCTCCCTTCTGCCAGAGTTCTCACACTCCCCTCTCCCATCGTTCAGGTTCGCTTTTCAGAAGTTGGGGTTTTCATACATACAATATCTGATATTTGTTTTTAATTTTTTTTCTTCCCTGTTCTTCAGTTTTCTCTTCTTGTGAAAATAGTTTTTTTGGAATAGTTTTTGTGAGTTGCAAAAAAAAATTGCAAGGGCCAAACCCTAATTTTACCCCTTTTTTTGGGCCTCAAATCGTAATCCCAACTGAATAATATGATGTTTTATACCTAAATCGACTAAAGATGATGCAAGGGAAATAGAAAAAAATAAAAAAATAAAAAAATGTGTACTGTTTTTTTGGGATCCTACCTAATAAATTAGGATTTCTTCATCTTTATGTCTTTAGGTAAAGTATATCATTTTGTTCTATTATTATTATTATTATTATTATTATTATTATTATTTGTTTATAGGGGAAAATGGTGTTTGATTTTCTTCATTTTTGTTGGTTTTTTTTCATTTATTTTTTATGTTTTGATTTTTTTTCTTGTTTTTTCTTTTGATTTTTTTCTTTTTTTTGTTCTTTATTTATTTTTTCATTTTTGTTTCTTGCTTTTGTTTATGTTTGGTTTTTATTTTTTATGTTTTCTCCCAAGTAGTAAATTAACAAAGGTTAAGTCCAAGTTTGGTTTGACATTGGTGTTCGGCTTTCTTTAGGGTTAATATTGTATTTATTCTGAAATTCAATCTTATATGCGTTAAGGGTAAGGGCTGGAGATGCTCTTCGTTGTTTTTTCTTAGTGTAAGGTTGTTGTGAGCAAAAATTTATATTCATGTTATGTTGTTATGTTAATTGTTGTTTCTCTGGTTCGACCTTTTTATATGTTGTTAAATTTATTCATATTAGTATGTAGATATTTATAATACTCATGATGTGAAGGTAATGTTTAGAGTTGTATAGTGATATGTATAAATCTTCATACGTATCTATGATTTTAATTTTTGTGTTATTATTGTGCTTGATATATTTCTTTCATTGGTTGTTGATTCCCCCCTCTCCTGGCTCAAATTTGTTATTATCTTGTTTGTTCAATTTTTTTTTTTTTGGGGTTCTATTTTTTGTGTGTTATGTAACATCCGGCAGATCTTGAGGGATCTTACACAAGGGTGATTTGAGGTTTGTTATGTATTTTCGGTAGATTATATTTGTTTCTTGGTATTTCTTTTTCATTAGTTAATTTTCTTTTTTTTCATTTTTATTCTGCAATTTGGCTTACAATTTGAGCTAAAAAAATTAATTTTGTTGATCATATTCTGTGCTGAGGTCTTTGGGATTCTATGCTTAATATTAGGAGTTTTTTTGTCTTGTTTATTTTGAGGTAGTGCACTCTTTTTTGCCTTGTTTTTTTTTTCCCCCTTCAAAATGTGGAATTGATCGAGCTACAAAATTTAAGTTATTCTGTATAAAACTAATTAGATTTTATTGATTGGTAGATCATATGACATGTAAACGAACGGTGGTTGTTCACTCTGTCTTTGGCTCTGTTTCTTTTCATCCACTTATGTTAACTGAACAATGCCTTGTTTTTTTTTTTCCCCTTCAAAATGTGGCCATTGATCGAGCTACAAAATTTAAGTTATTCTGTATAAAACTAATTAGATTTTATTGATTGGTAGATCATATGACATGTAAACGAACGGTGGTTGTTCACTCTGTCTTTGGCTCTGTTTCTTTTCATCCACTTATGTTAACTGAACAATTTATTTTATTTGATGACTTTATGGGTTTCTATTTAGAACTCAAATTTTAGTTTCTCAATATTTGTTGTTGATTTTGTATAATTTTTCCATCAGGGTCCCAAATGATTCACATCCCAACACATCAACAACCTCGTCCACTTCTCCCTCTATCAAGTTTTTTATCGCTCATTTTTTTACATCACTGAGGGAAAACTTCTCACAATTGCCATCGTTTTGCTCAAATTGTTTTCTAACACCTTAATGTCTTTCACTATATATGTGTTTTATCTATTTATGTAGTGTTTCAACCCATCAGTGATTGCGCTTGTGTCTATAGAGAGAGAGAGAGAGAGAGAGAGACGAGGATTACTTAAGAATTTACAAATAAAAAATGAAAAAATGTATATAAATATAGTGTAGATAATGCGTTATTATGTAAGCATTGTAATAAATTATGAGAATATATATATATATATATATTCATTTTGAAATTCACTTGCATATATTGCAGGAAAAAATTTTCTTTGTCTAGAAGATGCACCATCAAAATCACCTCAGAGGAAGCTGCTTGCATCAATATTTTGTGTGAGCTAATTTCTTTCTTCCTTTTGCATTTTGATTTGATGCAATTCAATTATTTTGGAAAATTTGTGAATTGGCCTAATTACTTAAAAGCATTTTGGTTGGATTTTTTAGTTTTAGTTTTATTTTTATTTTTAATCAAAATTTAATTTTGCTTATCTCTGGCTTAGCTTTTTATTTTCGTGTTTAATCATGACTTATGGGTGTTTGTAGTCTGGAAGATTAGGTGTTATGTAATATTAGTTAAGAACTTATTTTATTGATTTTAGTTACTCATGAATATCAATTTTTCAATGGGTGTTTGTGTTTCTTTCTTTTCTATTTTTTAAAAGTACCTCCTAAATCAAACCTTATAATGTTTCATTTATACCTAAACTACAGTACGTTGGTTGATGCTTAGTCAGAGTATAATGTTCCATTCTCCTTCCCTTTTCTTTTGATTAACAACATTAGCGAAGAATGTATTTAAAGTAGCATCGTCTACCCAGGATACTTTAGTTTGCTTACCAATCTAACACATGATCAAATTAACTGTGTAAATCATTAGTGCCAATTGCTTTTTGGTTGCAAAGCTTACAACACCCTTTTGACATTACATTCTTTTTATTTTATTTTTTATTTTTTGATTACCGAAGAAGAAATAATATTTTATTAGAGATGATAAACAGGAATCCAATAAACAGTAGACATTAGGATAGACAATTCTAAAACTACATTCTTTCCCATAAAGTCCTAACTCACCCAATTGGACAATACATCAGTACAAGAGCCAAAAATGGGCAGGAACCTTCTCTGTGATAAATGATTCAACATTTGATACTCAATTCATTTGACATTGAATACTTTGCATGGTTGTTTATTTAATGAGAGACCTCTTATTGGAATGTACATTCTTTGCATTATATGGTGGCTTTTGTTGCTTTTGTCAGTTTGAATGGGAGTGTTATTCTTGCTAACAACCATTTTCACTTTTATTGTTTCATTTCATTTTTATTTCATAATTCTTTTTCGTTGTTTTTAATAAAAGTAAATTAGTAATGTGAGATTTATTTCTTGTCCTTCCTCCTGATACTAGAAGTGCAAAAGAAGCTTATGCAGTTTCTAGATTTTTTTTTTTGATCGGCAAAAATAAAATATATTGATGTCGAAGAACGGTACAAGGTGTACAAATGAATACATCAGTGGAGCCAAAAGGCCAAGGCTAAAGCAACAAAAAAGTGAACAAATTCCAATCAAAATTGGGAGTAGCACCAAACAAGAACCAAAACAAAGCCAAATAAAGCAAGTAGCAAATGCTGCAAACAAAACACCAGCAGCAATTGATGCTGAAAAAATTCCCATCTCCTTGCTGCACTCGGCCAAAAAAACTCCAATGTTTGAAAGATTCCTACAGTGCTGAGCACACCCATAATTTTGTTTCAATACCAAACACCTATCACTTAGGTTGTGTTTGGATCATGAATTTAGATAGAGATTTGGAAAAGAAAAGCAAAAAATGTAGGTAAAATGTGAATGAAATATAGTTACATTTCACCCACCTTTTCCTTTTCCCTTTCCCTTTCGCTTTCCTTTTCTCTTTCTCTTTTCATTTTCAAATCCTTACCCAAATCCATGCTCCAAACACAACCTTAAGGTAACAGGTTTGAAAAGTCGTCTTCTTCCTATACAAAAAAGCTCTTCTAAAATTAAGTTGCAAAGAACCATCATGATCACCTATGCGGAGAAGATTAGCCACATTTCCATCCTTAATATATAAAAGTTGGAAAAATCTGCAACTAGAGTCTCATCAAGCCATTTGTCCTGCCAGAAATTAATATTCTTGCCATCCCCCAACTTTGGACTCAAATTTTCCCTGAAGATTTGGAACTTGTCAAAAAATTTCCATTGGATAGAAAAAAACTCCTTTCTCACGTTGAAGATCTATTTTTAGACGAAGGTTCCAACTGATTAATTAGATCATTGGAATTATTGTACCAGTACTTTGTAGTCCAGTGTGATCATTAAACCTAACCCAAAACATCACTTGCATTCATGCACTCAAAATCTATTTCAAATATTAAAGAAAACACTACTATGATAGAATCCAACATTGCTTCTGCTTCTTGTTAATCTAGAACTAATGTTGTGGAATGACCATCTGTGATCTAATTTAGTGAATGCAAGTTGCTAAAAACATCTAATAGCAAACTAGACCTTATTATCAAAAGCTAATTATCAAATATGAAAGGCTTAAAAAACTAAGCTTGTGGGTTTGGTCTAGCTTTTAGATGTGAAATTCCCTCGCTATGTAATTTGCACCATCTTGCTGATTAATTTTCTCTTTGAATTTTGAATGATTTAATTTGCATGCATGCGCTATGTTTGAGCTTCATAAAACACAATGATTTGAGTCTAACCCTCGTAAGAATTTGCTTGTAGGTATGTTCTCTGTTTCCTTCTTTTCAAGCAGATGATTAGCTACTTATTTTATCTCCAATCCATGCAAATAAGGATGTCTAATAATAGTTATTATGGTCTACCTTTGTATTGCTTTTTTTATTTTATTTTTTCCCCATTAAACTATTAAACAAGAAGGGTTGATAACCTTTCTATTTATTGTTTTTAAATTATTTTTTTCATGCTTTAAGCAAGTAGAATAAAAGTTTTGCAGACAAATCATGTTAGATTATTCACATGATCCTGATCTATTTGGTATACATTTAGATTGAAGGAGTTGATGGGATCTAAAAGGTAGTATTTGATTTGAAATGCTAAATAATGAAAACTTGATATTTCTTTCTAACAAGTATAATGCAGGGCTGAGGATTTAATAGAAAATTCAGTTCATGGAGGAAATGGTGGTGGTAGGTCTCACAGCATTACATACAAGCATGGTTTGGCTCATCTTACTCATAATATACCAAGTAAAAGTGGGTTCACAATTGATGAGGGATTTCAAGTCCTGCCATTAAGGATGATTGAGTACTTGTTCATTTGTCAAATAGAGAAAACAATTGCTTTATTTTTATTACGTCATATTTTTAGGAATGACAATTTTGTTGGGAAAATAGATCTTGTAATAGGTTTTATTTTTTATTTTTTTTGGTATAAGTAATAGTATTTGTTAAAAACTTTGTATTGTTGAGTCGATCTTGTTGTATTCATGATAGAGTTGCTAATTTTGTGTGTTTTATGCAATAGCTCAAAACTCATTTAAATACACAAATGTAATGGGCACTATCTGGGCATTAGTTAGCGTGCCTTGCACGCGGTCCTTTCACTAGTAAATATAAAAGATTAGATGAAAACTATTTACTTAAATGTTTACAAATGGAAATAAGGTCGCTGTGCAGGAATTCAGAACCATCAGGAATTTGCCTTCTGTGTTCGTGGCTGTGTTCACCAAGGTCGAGCTCATGACCAATATCTAGTCCCAGTACTTTGTTTACAGAATCCCTGGTGCCCACTAGTGCCACACGTGACTAACACTCGCGCCCGTGACTAACACTCGAACTCCCTCTCTCTTCAGTTCGCCATTTTTAAAGCTTCAAGCATTTCAAGCTTTAGAACCGTCTACTTTTAGGCAAAAATCTATCCTTAGTTCTTGAGATCAAAAGTTGGAGCACATCGAAAGCAACGTTTTGAGCCGAATAGATTGCGTTTTCGTTGTTGTTGACTTTGGGTGTTCATCCATTCTCTCTCTACTTTTAGGTGGGAATACTCTTAGTTTTGTATATCTATGTTTTGAGATGGTTATGTGGTAATTTCTCAATTATGATGATATATGAGCTAGAGAGTTTTGATTAAAAACTGAAATTGCATGACAATGGGGTTTTCACTCTATTCTTTGAAAGATTTTAAATATATTTGCATGTTAAAGACTAATAAGTAATTTTTGAAAGGTTTGGTGGAGAAAATGAGGAAAACTCCCAATTTTTATGGAACCCTATGTTTGAGGTTTCATTCAAAAAGAGGGTTTTGAAACTAAATGATGTTCTGTGATGAAATTGAACTTGAATTGTGTTGAAACACATGAAGATACTGGAACGATACGAATTTTGGATTTATATTGAAATTGTTGATGATGATGGAAGTTGTTGAGGTCTTGAGATTTAGATTATTTTGATTACATATAACATTGTTTATTCTTATAGAATCAAATTGAACATTAGGCAAATTGAAACATTTGCAACTCATGCATTACATAAACATTGCGTGGTTTTGAACTTGAAATGGTTTGCTACTTTGGAAAGTGATGGATCATGGAAAAGGGGTAAATAGCATAGTAAATCTAGGTAGTAGAGTTGGTTTTGGAAAAAGAGTAAAGTATTGTATTGGTAATTGTATGGGGAGTCAAGTGCCCAATTGCCCTATCACGTGCTTGATGTTAGATAAATGTGATAAAAGTTTTCTAGGTGTCCAATTACCCTTCCGTACTTGATGTCGGTAAATGTGGGAAAATGTATGTTTTAGGTGCCCAACTACCCTTCCGTGTCAAGGTCAGTAAATGTGGGACTATTTTGAAATATAAATCTACATGTATGTATTATGGTCTCTTACCTAGGTATTTCTAGGGCTTATTTATTGCCCTGTTGCTTATGATGGATTTGGTTTAAATGTTTATGCATTGAGCATCATGCTTTTAAAAGAAAAAAACTTTGGATTTTTGGCATGGCATGATTATAATCATATCAACATTTACATACAATGTTAAGTGTATTTCTATTGAGGGTCATTGCTCATTCCTTTCATGGACAAACATTCAACAGGTTGTGACGATGTGCCTCCACCTTGTTGAGGATCAAGTGGAGATTTTGATGGAACATCGAAGCTCAGTTTTGATGTTTTACTTGTTTGCAACTATCGAGCTTACTTGTGTGGGATAGTGTTCATTTACTTACAATCAAGGTCCTAACCTTAAAAGATGTAAGCCCTTAAGGAATTTTTGATGTATTTCTCTTATCTTTTAAATTTTGTGTATTGTCTTAATTTTGAATATCAAGGATGTAACACATGAATGTAAAGATAGGTACATTTTGACTTATGAGACTTGTATTTAATTTTACTGTCTTTAATCCTCACCTCATGTCTTGAAATTGGAATAATAATAAATGATTGGTAAAATGTGAATATAGAAGGCAGATAAACAAAAGAGGAGCAGTTGAAGGCAATTAAGGTGAGTGGGCAATTTTTCCAGGCAGTGGAGAGAGCACACTTGCATGCATGGTTGCAGCGGTTGTGTGGCCAAAGCAAGGGAGCAATGTGAAGGATTCCGAGAGAGGAGATCAATCATTTATATCCGTTCACAATAATTGCGCATTTTAGGAGTAGCAGTAGCTGTTAGATTTCTTAGGAACAGTTCATTTGTAACTTAGGTTATCAGTTACTCTTGTATTCTTTTCTATTGTTATTCTTCTTATTTGAAAACTTGTAACAAGTAACAATTTCAGCAGTTGTTTGCTTTTGATCAAGACATAAAACTCAACCAGTTTTGCTTGATCATTTTCCTTGTTTTTTTAAGTGTTTAGATTCTCTGTCGATCGACTCAGGTCGATCAAACCCAAATCAAAAATTTATCTACGTGTAAAATTATTTTGGAGAAATTATATAAAAAAAAATCATTTGACCCCTATAATAAAATAAATTGTGTTGTTAATTTTGTCAATTTAATTTCTTATTTTTTAAAATTTATTTTAAATTTAAATTATTTGTCTATTTTCATTGAATAAAATTGATGAAAAAAATATTATTTTAATCATTAAACTCAATATAAATGTACATAAAATGTCAAAAATATCATTTTTTATTGAGTTTAGTGATTTTTTTTGAGAGCATTAGAATATGCTTCATTATGTAGATACGATATTTACAAATTTAGCCAAATTATGTGCCGGCAAAATTACAAATCTAGTAACTTTGGAAATACAAAGAAAATCAAAATAGCTACTCAGATGCTTTAATATTCTTAATAATTAAAGCAATCTCCCATTCCGGCAGTTTGATCAAAACTAGACAATTAGTAAATATTAAGATGCATTGAAGCCCTTGACTATTTACTCGTGATTAAAATATTATTTTTTTTAATCAAATTAGCCTATCACCCGTGCTATGCACGGGATAATTATAGATATTTATATTTATTTTAGATTTTTTTAATATATAAATTATGTTTTTAAAGATTTTTTATAAGAATAATTTAACAATCTTATCACTAACCATAATGTATGAAAGAAGTTGAGATGGGTACTGCAGAGGATTTTAAATGTTGATCAGGGAATTTTGACCAAATCAATAAATGCAGACATGTGGATTGAAAAAAGTTAATAAATGCTAATTAGGAGATTTTGACAAAATCAATAAATGCTGGGTTTTTTTTTTTTTAAATTAAAAATTTAGAAAATTCAGATTGGGATATTGAAACTCCCACAGGCTTTGTGGGTTAAAAACTCCCTTTTACTTAATATATCGTATAGATTTACTTAATAAAAATTGACAGATAATTTAAATTGAAAATCAATAAAGAAAATTAGAATTTAAATTAATAAAATTAAAAATTAAAAATTTGTTTTATTACAAGGATCAAATCCTGAGATTTTTTTATTTTTATTTTTGCAATTTCCCCCAATTGTTTTTATGTATGGTACTCAAATACTATTTTTAAAAACTTTTTTTATGCATCTTTGTGACAAATATGACATTTTTTCTATTAAAGTTACAATAATTTGTGATTCATAAATAAAATTATACATTATATATTTGTGTGGTAATGTTGTATATTTTTTGATTTGAAAATATTTGAATAAAAAAATGTGTACTATTACGACAAAAATATATAATATTACCACAAAATAATAACTTTGTTTCAAAATTATAAATTATGATAATTTTACCAAAACAATTACGTCATATTTATTACAAAAATACATTATATGGATAAATTACACTTTGTCCTTTTATTTTGACCATTTTCTCACTTTATGCCCTAAAATTAATTTTTTCATTTTAACCATTCGTGTTTTAAACTTTCTAATTTATTTATAAAGTTAATTTTTATTCAAAATTAGATAAAAAAATATAACGTTAATTACTACATAACATAAAAAAATATTATTTTATTAATAAGATATTTTTATACTTCCTTTTAAAAATATAACGTTAATTACTACATAACATAAAAAAATATTATTTTATTAATAAGATATTTTTATACTTCCTTTTTTGTCTAATTTTGAATAAATAATATTATCTTTTTGTATCCCGTCTAAGACGATATTATCAAAGTCGAGGAAGAAGCAGCAAGTGTACAGCAATAAAGAGAAGGACAATTCTATTCTTACATAAAAACCAAACAAAAAACTTAACAAGAATTATGTGACAACGGCATTATTGTAAATAAATTCATCTTTAATGGTATTTGGTTTTAAAATGAAAAGTCCATATTGAACCATATCATTATGTATTAATTTTTTGTTTATATAGCATTACTCAAAAGAGAATAGGAACCCAACAAACATTTTACCCAAAATTTTAGCAAACAGGAAGTTTTATGCTTGATCACAAAAGTTGAAACTAAAGGCAACAAAAGTAGAATTCTGATGGGTTTACAGCTGCATTTGATCATCTAAGTCTTTTCTGCTGAACATGGTAAGTGTAGGAATCTTCAATATGTCTGGTGAGCAATGAAATGCCATAATGCGATGCACTTGAGGCAGCATAGTACGATGTCACGGTCAGTTGGGCAAACTTCGGAAGTGCATAACCTATATATATAATAAATACTAACTTTTTAATAATAATAACCCAATTTGAGCATGTAAATCAGACGTCCAATAAAAAATCAACCAAAAAGTAAAAATATAAAGGTTGCAAACTTGCAGTGATGACAAAAATCTGGAAATTATGCACCGTAGTTGCGTGCTTCTCTAAAAACTTTAACCTGCTGGAAGGAAACCCACTTGCCATAACAGTACATATTCAACAAGAGCCTCACCAAAAATTTCCTAGTAAGGACAATTTATAAGGGCTCGAGCAAACACATACGCAATCACCTTTAAAAAGCAAGTTTGAGCTAAAATTACCATTTCCTTTCATAAACCAATAAAGGAAAAGAAAATAGCACAAAAGATTTCGGTATTCATTGAACACACAAATCAGTTGCAACTAAACAATTAGATCTGAGGCTATTAGGGATAGGTTCAATAAAACAAACAAAAAATATGAAGGGGAAAAAAAATGCAGAGAGAGAGAGAGAGAGAGAGAGAGAGCAACAATGAACACACAAACAAAATCCCCCTACACACTCCAACAGCGGCAAAAAAGTAACCAAAAGAATAAAAACAATAATAGGCACAAAATGCACCCCAAATTTATTAGCATCTGAATTCTAAATTCAAATTTTAGTTCTTTTTCTTTGAGCACTCCACTTATTACCAACTTTAACCCGCCCCCACCCCCATACTCCTAACCCTTCACCCTCATAGCCACCACCGTTGCTGCCCCACCATCGGCCCCTGGCCTCCTCCCCCTCCTTGCCCGCAATGCCCGACTACCTCCCCTTCCCTTCCCACAGCCCGGAGCCACCTTTCCTATCTGCAGTGCATGGCCGCCTCCCTGACCCTCCCCATCAAACCTTAACCCTAAACCCCGCTTCCCCAATCATAATATCTAGTTTTTCCTCCTCCCAAATCTAGCGACTTCTCTCTTCCCCATCTCTAGAGTCGCAATTTCCCTCCACGCAGGCCTTTGCGACGGCCACCACCCCTTGCAATCTCCTCAAATCCAGTTCGGTGGTCTACTTCCAAACCACCACCAATTGTTCGGTGGTCTACATCTGAACCCTCACCATTTGCTTGGCACTGGTTATCTGAACTAGGCGATACGATTCCAAATCAATGGGAAGAAAGCAAGAGTGGGGTAGCGAAGGGCTCTAGGGTAGCTGTGTGGGTAGCGGCAACGTTACCTAGGTGCGATTAGTGGAAGTGGATGTACGTGTGAAGGAAAGGAGATGAAGATTGCCGGCTATGAAGCATGGACACATCGTTATTTTTTTTTTTGCAAGAGACACACCGAGGACACAAATCAGGCCAGAAAAATTTCAAAGTTTTAGCTCTAAATCTCAAAATCAGAAGAGAAGAGAAGAGAAGAGAAGGGCATACCTTAGATTCGAAGTCGGACATGCTAGAAGAAGAACTTTGTTCTAGTCAACCTGCATGTAGACGACCACAATTGGTCACGTAAGTGTGTCTCTCTCTCTCACCTCTCGTCTCTCGATCTCTCATTGCCTCTGGCCTCTCTCTCTCTCTCTCCTCTCCTCTTGCTTCTGTCTTCTTTCTTCTCTCTCTTCCTTTTGTTTCTTCTGATTATAGTATTATTAAATAAAAGTATTAAATAAAGGTTGGGGGAAGAAGTTGAGGATTACATAATGAAGATGGTCGACTGCTAGGTGCTCATAAAATAATGATTATTTTTGTGTAGTGCTTATAATGATGATGGTGGACTGATGGAGTTTCTCAGTCTCATCTTGTTACGTAATAAGCGCTTCATCGTTCACATGCAATATGAGTTAAGGAACTCTTTCACAATCACGACATCTGATGGGAGTACCTTTATCTCCACCACTCTCCAGAGAAGAGTTCCTTTTAGCTAAGGAGAGATGATGGAGAACAGAAATGCATGGAATAAAGGAAAAATTAAAGATTTTGTAATTTCCTTTTAGCTAAGACATGTTTTGGGATTGTCACCCCCAATTTCTTCTCCTTCTATTCTTCTTGTTCTTGGTCCTACATCAGGTTCTGCAACACAGCAAACAGAAACTGTCATTTTCAATTCTCATTGCAACTTAGCACTTAGTCCTGGTTTCTCATTTACAAGTTGTCTTCTAATTCCCAGTTCACTCTAGTCTTTATCAATTCTACTCTTTCAAGTTCTAGTAAAGCTAATTTCATAACTTTGTTTACCAACAATTGTTGAAGCTCTACGCTTTACCATTATCTTAAATTACACCTAGGAAATTGTTTGAAGTCCTCTTCATTCAAGAAAATAAAGAGCCTGCAGCTTTTCCCCTAAGCAATAAAGTCAAATTCGCGAATCCTAGATGATTCCAATTTTAACCAATAACTACATGACACACATGCACACTAACATAGGGACTGTCACACTAAATCCTTCGTTGAACTTCTACGGAAGTAAAAAAACAAGCCTCCCATGCAAGGTTCTGAAAAGCAGTTGCGGTCGCCGTAACGGTGGCGGTAGCACGGTTGCGGAGTGTAAAGGCCGTAGTATAACGGTTGTGGCAACAGGAACTGTGAATTTTTTTATTTTTCGCACAATTTGAAAAAAACTTACCGATACGTACATTTTTTTTTCCATGATCATATTTATTGGGTTTTAAAATAAATATTAATCAATTTTTATAAATTTTTAAGTTTGATCCAATATATTTCATATTTTTAAATCACTATAAACTAAGTTTTTTATATTCTATTTTAATAATTAATAACTTTATATTATACAAAAAATCAATCACTAACTATTATGTATAAGATAAACAATGACAAATGTAAGAGAATAAATAAAAGCCTAAATATATATATATATATATATTAATCAAGCCAAATAGATAATGACCACACTTATTATTATTATTATTATTATTATTATTAAACAATATATTGATAGACACACACAAATAAAATGGTAGAGTGATAGCAGCTGAATAGAATAACATAGGTCTTACAATTTCAACAAATCAATAACATGTTCTTCATCTTCCCTATTCTCTCTCTCTATCTCTTGTTCCTCCATCTTCCCTCTTCTCTCTCTCTCTCTTCCCCCATTTTCAACTTCTTTTTTTTTTTTTTTTGTGTTTTTTCAAAAGAAGCAATTCAAAACCGTTACGTAACGGTGCGTAACAGGCCGTTTCGGCACCATTACGACCGCTATAGCAGCTGCTACGACCGATACACCTGTGAATCTCAATCACACTGCAAAAGCGGCCGTAACGAGTGGCGGTAACTACCACAACTGTTACGTAACGGCGTTACGTAACAGTTGCGGCTACTTTTTAAAACCTTTCCAAGTCTTGTTGGTGAATATTCTGGTGATTTTGAACCTAAACACCTTATGCTTATATAGCAAATAAATATATTTATCAGATACACTGAATATTTCTCTGCCAACATCTAAAGGGGTTATTTTCTCACAAACAGATAATAAATAAAAATTATAAAAGAAATTTGTATAAATAAATTATTGAGAAGTATCACTTTCACTCCCTAAACTATAAAAACGTACAAATCAACCCCCTAAAGTATTGAAAAGTATCACTTTCACCCCCTAAACTATAAAAGTGTACAAATAGATCCCCTAAACTATTAGTGTGTTTCACTTTGACCAATTTTTTTATTGCACCGTGAGTTAAACCAAACTTTTAAACATTTTTTAGATGAAAATATCCTTCACCACTACATAGAACACAACTAGCAACACTTCCTCTCAATTTTTCTCCCTTTTCTATTTTATTACTTTTTAAAAATATTCTTTTTGCAAAAAATATATTACCAAAAAAATAATAATGGCAAAATGCTTATATTTTAAAAAATAAAAAAACAGTAATAATGTTATTGTAAATTTATAGTGTTGAAGGGTATTGTCATCTAAAAAATATTTAAAAGTTTGGTTTAACTCAGAGTGCAATAACGAAAGGGGTCAAAGTGACATTCTAATAATTTAGGAGGTCTATTTGTATGCTTTTATAGTTTAAGGAGTTAAAATGATACTTTTCAATACTTTAGGGGGTCCATTTGTATGATTTTATAGTTTAGGGGGTCAAAATAATACTTCTCAATAGTTTAGGGGGTCTCCGTGTACATAATCCAAAAGATTTATACAAAGGACGCTGCTACTCCATGAATCGGTGACTTAGCGCCTGATACTCTGCGTCTATGTTCAATTTCACACTTGGACTGGAATGAGTCATAACATACCCATGCACATACACAAAGTCAGAAACATCATCTCTAGAGGAAAAAAATGCCCATTTTTCTCTCATTTTTTGGGTTCCATATAATTAATAGTTAAAAATTTGTTTTAAAGAGGAAAATGGTGGGGAATTGCACACACACACCTCCCCAAAGAGAGGGGGGGAGGGGGGAACACTTCATTTGGTTTCAATTTTCCAAAAATTAAAAAAAAAATTCATGTTTTTTTGTTTTAGTGAATTTTTAAAATATTTTAAACAATTTTTTTTTTTAACCTTTTAGATGCACCTAACCTAAATGTACCTAATATTTATAAAAAGATATTTAAAAAATCAATAAATACATAAGAATACGAAAATGTACTGAATTTTTGGTTTTTTTTTATTTTTTATTTTTGTATTTTTTGGTATTTAGTGAATGTTTTAAAGATTTTTTACATAAATATTATACTTTTTAATTGTATTTTATATTAACTGTATCTAAAAAGTAAAAAGTTTGCTTAAAATGTTAAAAAAACTTCACTAAAAATAAAAAAATACAAAAAACAAAAAGCTCAATTTTTAGAAAATTGGACCAAACCTCATACATGAAAGAGAATCCATATATTACTTAGGCTCAAAGCTCATGATGAAACCTATCATTCCCTAATTGAAAACATCACTTGTTAAGTCCCATGTATCTAAAAATTAATTTAAGGGTGTTTTATGATATATTTTACAATAGATGATTTGTCACCTGTCTTTGGAGCATTAAGACAACGAAGTTTCAAGGAACTCAAATACGTTTGATATTATTAACTAGTGTTTTACTATGATGACTATGAAGGAAGATGGTTAACAATTGTCTTAGATCCATTGGTTACTCCACAACCAAAAGATGATGGTTGTTGTGTTGTTCCTTCTTCAAAGAGAAAGAAAGTTAGAGGAAAAGAAAACAAGCCTCAAAAAAGCCAGATAGATGGTAATAGCAATTTTTCTAATAAAGGAAAACCAAACGATGTCAAAGTTTCAAGCAAGCAACCAAGGTCATCTACGCGAGAGCAAAGAGGGGTCACAAACCTCTTTAGTTTAAGTTATTTATGTTGTGAACTTAATCTCTCTGGTTGTAAGAGATTGTTTTTGTGCATGTTTCTTGTTGGCCTACCCTCTTGGGCTGTGACGTGAGATTTTTCTTTGCACGCTAGGGGTATGCTTTATCCTTGTTGAACGGACATGTATCAAGCTTCATTATATATGTATCTTTTTCTAAAACTAAAATGGTTACCCAAAAAAAAAAAAAACAATTGTCATTAATTCCATTTATTGATGCATTTTTTGGCCATTATATATATACAATACCATTTTGTAAAAAGTTTATTGTATTTTTTTTATTTTTCCCAAAAACAATTGCGTGTTTATTTTAGTCAATCCTACACATTGCAGAGACCTTTGGAAGTATTATATATATACGCACACATATATCTATATTTATTGAAATTTATCAATAGCATTTGTAACATTCACTCTCAAGACATAAACAAAGCACTGGATACAATATATCCCTATTCCCATAGATACATACAACTTGGCAAACAACTAAACAGAATGAGTCATGATCATGAAGTACCGCCAACAACATAATCATATTAACCTCAAAGCTATGAAGCACAGATACTCCAAAAAAGGTTCCGTATGAGTATCAAATGCGGATACGCGTCCGATATGGTGGGGTATGTATCAGATACGACAGATAAGTATCGATTTTTTTTTTTTTTTTTTTTTTTTTTTTATTTCAGAAATGGGAAGGATACGCGAGGAATACAGGAGGATATGTGAAGAATACGGGAGGGTACGCGAGGGACACACCAAATAAGTACCCAATTTATTTTTTTCCAAAATTTTTCCTAGTTTATATTTATATTTTTTCAAAGGTCAATAAAAAAATATTTTAAAAAAAAGAAGCTATTGTTCACACAGTTTCTACTTCTCAATTTCTTTCTATGGTTTTTATTTTGGATATTATGACTTAGGGCTATTGTTATCATTGCTTAATTTTGTTATCTTTACTGTTGTTCTTTAAATTTCCTTGAATATTTGATCGAAACCTCTCTTATTGTTTGTAACTCTTTGTCAGTATGCCTGGTTGTTAATGGATGATGCAATCTTTGATTAACAAAGAATTCTCTTTTTGATATTAAAGAAATTAATACTAGATATTTTATGAATGTACTCTTACATTAGGTTTTATTTTATGCATACTACATTACTAAAAATTATAAAAATAATTTTGTTTTACAAACATATCCTCACCGTACTTGTATCTTACTTTTTTAGGTTTTGTTGTATCATCGTGCCGGCATCCCATTTCCGTATCTGTAACCGTATCCATGCTTCCTAGCCTTGAAGACATGACTATAGGCTCTCAAAAGGACACCACAAAAATGCAAAAAGGAGCCCACTTGTAGCCATTGATTTAATGTCAAATTTCACTAGGCAGTTTTTGGATCCAACATGATGCTATACTACATACTAGATGCAAGAATAACATGATGTTAATTAAAACAGAGTGGACCATCCATACATACCTCCAAATGCAACACTAGCAGCTGAGAACATTAGCAGTGGAGGAAGCTGCCCAAGAAACAAAGGAACAAATGGAAGAGAAAAGACAATGCGATTAGAATGAGACAAAGAAGATCCACAAAACAAAACTAGACAAGTGAACAGACATATATCACTTATACTAGGCCAGAGATAGAAGCTCAGTGACTGCATTCTAATATCCAAAAACATAGGTGAGAAAAATGATTCGTCCACCGAATTTGAGTTTGCCCGAATCGCCTAAATTTGTGCGTGTTGGACGACTGCTCGGATGACCACTTGGATGACCCGTGCGACCGGCCGGTCGACCACCCGAATGACCGGCATGCACAAATTCGGGCGATTCCGGCAAGCCAAAATTCGGTGGACGTAGCATTGCACCATTGGTGATAAGTGCTTAAAATTGCATTTCTATCCTCATTTTGATAAGCATTATTGCATTCTTGTCCCCAAAAAAATTCCTAATTTTACACTTATATATGTGTTCGCTTTTGACTAATAAGCATTTCATATTTTCTTAATAAAAAATTGTTATTTGCATGTATTCATACAATTTTAATAAGTCTATGCAAAATGGTTTTATTTTTTGAATTTTTCCCTGCCGGCTATAATCATATTGAAGAATTGGATAGCAAGGTCATAGTGTCAATTGGAATGAAGACTTAGAATTTGAAGTTAATGCAGAAAAATCTGTTGTAATTAAGTTTGCACAGCTGAGCATTTTGGCCATATCTTTCGATGTAGTTATTGGATTGAGCTGAATTGTGTCTGTGGAAAAAAGGCTTGAAGGGCTTCAAATCACTCTAGCATGAATATTTCAAAATTTTGTCATCTTGATGGTCAAAAGCAGCATTGAAATTGCAAGAGATATGCAACCACAAAATTTCTTCCCACTTTTGTTAGCTTTGTTTGTACCAATTGAGCGTTGTTTTTTTGTCTATTGAAGAGTATCCAAGCATAAGACATAGTGCTAGTGGATGAGACTAGAGAATGAGTTAATACCAAATTGGAGATTTGGAGAAACGCTCTTGAATCTAAAGGATTCCTGATAAGCAGAACTAAGACAAAATACATGGAGTGTAAATTTAGTAGCAGTAACAATGAAAGCAGAGGAGAAGTGAAGATTAAGAATCAAGAACTGCCTAAGAGTAAACATTTTCATTATATAGGGTCGATTATCACAACAACGGGGGAGATTGATGTGGATGTGGCCCATAGGATTAAGGCAGGATGGTGTAAGTGGAGAAGTGCGTCTGATGTACTGTGCGATAAACGAATACCCACTAGACTAAAAGATAAATTCTATAGAACGGCTATTAGACCAGCGATGTTGTATGAGACGGAGTGTTGGGCAACCAAGAAATAACATGTAGATAAGATGAGTGTAACTGAGATAAGAATGCTAAGGTGGATGTGCGACAAGACTAGACTAGACAAGACAAGACAGGACAGAATTAGGAATGAGTGTATTCGGAAATGGATAGGAGTAGCACTGATAGAAGATAAGTTGAGAGAGAATCGATTGAGATGATTTGGTCATATTCAACGGAGACCAACAGAGGAAGTATTGAAGAGATGCGATACTATAACGGTAGATGGAAGTGTTAGGGGACGGGGTAGGCCTAGATTAACGTTGGTTAGTATTGTAAATAGAGATATGGATATACTTAATTCAACTAACGAAATGGCCTTTAATAGAGCTGCGTAGAGAAGAAGGATTCTTGTAGCCGATCCAATTTGATGAGACTTAAAGCTTGGTTTGGTTTGGTTTGATTTATCCAAGCATAAGACATGCAAAAGATGTCTCAGACTTTTGCATCTAAATAACACATGGCCATTTGAACTTAAGACGAGTCAACGACATCAATGTTGGGAAAAAGTTTTGATATGGTAGATTGAGTTTGTCATGGTATTTTGGCCTTAACTTTTTACTCAAAATTTAGATTGTTGTGAGGTTTGCGGGCATGGGAAAGATGTAACAAGGATCTAGAACTTTATGCCTAATAGAAATTTTGTGAAACAGCTTCTTTCTTCGTCAAAATTGAGCTGGAAGTTAGCTGAACTTTGAAATCCGAAAATTGACATGTGATTTTTATTTTCTATTCACCTTTGAAGGGTCATAGTTAGATAAATATATATATATATATATAAGAACCGCATAGCTGCTTGAGGTTCGTAATTACGCAAACATTCTTGTCAATTATGAAACATAAATATTTTATTTTTTTAACAAATTACAAATACACCCATAATAAGATTTATTTAAAATATGAATCAGTCCTATAATAGTAAAAATTACAACTATCGTTTGTTATAAATTTTAATTTAACACAATATTCTGGGGGGGGAAAAAAAACTATTCTTTTATGCAATAATAAATTATCAAAATTGTTTATTGAAAAATATTTCTCATATCATTAAAAATTGTTAATTGGCTTAATGATTTATTTATTAACAAAATGGTTAACTGAAAAATATTTTTCACATCATTAAAAATTGTTGATTTACTTATTAATAAAATTAGTCATTTGTTATGCAAGTACGATTTATGTATTAATAAAATTAGTCATTTGTATATATATATATATATGTATTTTCTTCTGCTTCTTTATTAGTTCAGTGAATTATCTTAGTAGTTTTTTTTATATGGGAGAATTATCTTCATATTTGTTTTATATTTATCTGTTGAGAAAAACTATACACAATAATTTTTTTTTTTACAAATTCGGAAGAAATGTTAAAGACTCATAAATTCACCCAAAATGATATGGTAATAGAATTGGAGTCTACATCATTAGGTGTATAACAAATCAAAAAATGATACATATCATACCCACATAATTCTATCATATATCTAATGATTTATTCTATTCAATTTCACAGAAAAATATTCTAATTTTTAAAAAATTATCAAAATACAAAACTTAAACATACTGTAATAATAGCCCATGCCTTACACGGGCCTTTTTAAACTAGTATATATATAAGAGAGATGAGCACAAGGGAGTTATCATTCATTCTATCTTCTTGCTTTGTAAGTGTTTGATATCATATAATGGTCTGCTAAAGCCCTTAGCTAAGGCTAGGGGTGAAACTTGTAATGAAGCAATAATTTTTCCTCTTTGATCCTCCAATGTTTTGCAATGCATACTCTTTTAATTGATTGTTTCATATATATATATATTTGAAAAGTTTTTGTTACTGTAAAATCTCTTGATTCATCGTTAACTTTAGGTACAATGGATGTTTGGAATTCCCTGCGCATCAAAAACTAGTTTTGTAGGTTTTGATCAATCAATTTAAAGATTAATCTTTTGATGATATTTTGAACTATCACCCGTTCGATCTTCCAATTTAGATCACTCCTTAGTTGATTATCGATTGAGTTAAAAGTAGGATCAAGAAAAAGAGTTATGGTTTTAGTATTAGTGGATTCCCAATGCCTTAGCCCATTTTCTATTATTGTTTTGAACTTTTTAATTTCATTTCATCAAATTCAACCATCATTTTCCTCAAATCAAAAACATCCAATTAAAACATTTGCTAAATTAGTTTAGTTCGTCCTTTGCTACCAATCCCTGTAGATTGATCTCGGATTCACCGAGTATAGTATATAATACTTTGCGACAACTTGCACATGGGTTAGCACCTTTGGGGTTGCAACAGTAGGCAAAAAAGAAATAGAGCACATCAGAAGTACAAAGGACATAGTCCATACCCCAATAAGAAAAGGAAGCCATTTTGGTCCTTTAACATGTTTTTGGAAATACGGGATCCCTGAGATCAATCAACAATATGCAATACGTGAACTTATTAGCATAGAAAAGAAAAAAAGACAATTTTGATCATACCTGTATTGAAACCATGAATTGCACTAAGCATTCCGCCAATTCCAGAGCCAGCCTATTCAATTGAATGTTTAAGGGATACGATAACAGAAACAGTAGTAAAATAAAAATAGGAAGTTTCCACACAGCTAATAAGTATAGACACGGACAAGCGACTTACCGAAAAGTCAATTTTAGAAAAATTCAGAACACAAAATATATGATTTTATATATTTATTATGCCAAACATAAAAGTATTTCATTCCAAGATAATAAAAATGTAGCATAACACTAATTCCTAAAGTATAAAGAAGGAAGAATTTATAAGTATAAAATTATATATTTTTCTTCTTTTATCATTGTATTTTCGAAGTTATTTTGTTCAAACTCATGTACGTCTAAGGGATGGATATTTGTATTCCCTCAATTATCTGATGCATGTTTAAAAATAATGACACATGGACGTGTTTGACAAATGTCGAGAAGTGTCTGATGATTGTCAATGCCGGACACAGACACACACCATAGAAATATCCATGCATCTTAGCCACAAAAAATGCACATCTTATGATGCCTTTACAAATCATCCAAAATACCAAAAATTCTAACATAGCTTGATCCATACAAAAATGGGCTAGAGGCAAGGAAGAATTCCAATGGAATGACCAAAGCAATATTGATTTTGGTTGATTACCTTTACAAATATGAAGTTAAGATCCATAAGAAAGTTGATCATAATAAGTAAGATTGAACACAACTGCATATTTGTGCACAATTATCCATACTTTCACAGTTGTCAAATCACGATACGAATCGTATGCGTTGTTTATTTTTTTGAATCGTGTATCGTATCATATATTGCAAGATTTTTTTAACACCTTTAAAATATAGGTAGTAAAATAAAATTATAATTATAAAAAACACAAATACCTTGTGAGAATAAAACACTAAACGATTTAAAATCCTTAAAATTGCAATTGTAAAGTTCTTTAAATTAAGAGCTCATTTGGGAATTTGCTATTTTAGTTGGCTTTTTGACTTTTTACAAAAAAACATGCAAAGAAGTAGAAAGAGTGATGTAATAATTTGGTAATAGCTAAAAAGGCACTGCCCAAACAATCCGTAAATATATGCACGCAACAATACTTGATGCATATAAAATGCAGAACAAAGTTAAGATCTGTATAACCAAAAAGGTAGACAAAAATAACCTTCTACATAAAAAAAAATTATATTGCTAAAGAAATTTAAATATTCATGAAACATATGTATCGCATCATGTATCGTATATATATTGTAAGATACATTTTATTTAAGATATGTATTGATGATAGTATTGATTTACCTCTAAAAAGTATTGAATTGTAAGAATCGTAAGATACTGATAATAACACACATTTCATTCATCAGGATCAGTACCTCACAATACAAACATATTCAGTACTTTGTTGACTACAACTTTTCCCCTTAAAGAAAAGGGCTGAAGACCAAAAAAATGACAATAGCATTCAATAAAGTTCGCATATTAAAAAAATGAAAAATTAAAAAAAAAATGACAACATTGATTTTAAAGCAATCAAGTATTCTTAAAGGCAGCTTTTCAAAGAGTGTTCCCAAGAGAAACAGCTAGATAAGACTCCATTTTTTTGGTAAGTGTTTTATTACCAAAAAAAAGATATTACAATATACCTTAATACATGTACCCATATATACACACAAACCAAAGGGCCTACACTCTCTTCAAGAGAGAAACATACAACTCTCTAAGATAGCCACACAGACCTAGCCTACCCAAAATAATTTCTACTCAAAGCACAGAAGGCTAGACAAAGAAGTAATTAAAAACGCACTGCCATGATAAAATCAATGTTACATGGACTCCGGTACGGGTATGTATCTAGAGGTCGGACTTATCAAACCATAAATTTAAAGATACACGGACTAGGCAAAAAAAAAAGAAAAAGAAATGTCATCTTTTTATATTTTTAATCAAGTATGTGAGATAAAATGGTAACATATGTAACTTACCGTGTCAAAAAGACCATTATAGCGATTATACATGAATATGTGCATATAATAATAGTCCCCACTTGATGGAACTTAAGGCTTGGTTTGGTTTGGTTTGGTTTGGTTTATGTACATATAATAATAGTGTTATATACAATTATATAAGAAGTGTCCATTGAAATGTATTCGACACATGTCCAATATCTTTGTCTGAGTGTCGGGTGTCTGACACGGGTATTTGATTTATTTTGAAGAGTCCATGTAATATAGGATAAATAAGAACTTAAACAGCAACCAACAAATGCCTCTACTATACATGTAGACAATAGGATCTTCATCCCACCAAATGCACTATACTCATCCAACCATGAAAGTCACACAAATGATAAAATAGCACATTACAAAAATTTCAACTGGATCACAAAATTCTAAACCAAGCAGGAAAATGCCCACACCAGTTAGAAAAGATGTGGACCTATCTCAAAAAAGTTCAGCCCTGAAAAAACCACGATGAAGATTCATACTGAAATCAACCACTGCTCAGACCATTTCCAATCCCACTCACGTAAAGTGCATCTGCTGCACACATCATCTACATAGCATCCAAGCTTTGATAAAGGCTAGCTATCCTCCCTAAAAGATCTAGCCATTGCAAGGTTATGAGTACCAAGAAACAAGGTACACAATTGCACTCCTGACGAAAGCAAACCCACAAAAACAACAATAACACACCTAGAAAAGACTAAAGAGAGCCAAACCAACTAATTTCAGCAAAAGACAAAACCTGAACTAGTTTAACCCATAAGGGACCATAATGCCAAAAACATTTAGCCCTTTACATGAACCTCATCACAAAAGAAACAGAGCACCAGTCCAGACTCATCAACCAAACATCAAATTGAATCAAAAGCAAGTAAACCAGGATAAGGAAACAAGGATGAACCACAGATCCGATCAGCAAGAGAAAAGTATCCTAGATTTTGCATTTGAAGTTATATTAATAAAAAATGAATTTGACCTATGCAAACAAACAGGAGCTCTAGGATCCAAATTCATTGATTGCATCTGGAAAGGGGTCCAGCCACCTAGGGGTGTAAAGTCATTCCCAAACCCACAAATATTATAACCTAAAGAGCTCAACTCAAATTATTGATTGAAAAATGCATCCCAAAATTGAAATATATTTGAATACATAATTTAGATGTTTATAGATATTGTAAATTGACAAATATGATTTTGACATCTATGATGCGCATACATACATACATACATATGAGAATTAGATAACTTACCACAGCTGTAGCATCATGTAGTACTGAAGTGATGGCCCATTCACCATTGTCCTGGTTATTTTGGAGGGGGGGGATGGAAACAGAAATCCACAGTAAGCACTCAAAAGAGCATCTCAGAAAACAAGTACTATGCATATATGTATGCATACATAGAGTGAGAGATAGAAAGAGTACCACATTAGGGTTTAACAGAGAGAGACAGCGAGGGCATCGAGGCGAACCTAAGCCCGGGTTCATGGTTGGGTCATGGTAGAGGTTGCCGGACCTCAACTTCTCTTCGTAAACCTCTCTCGTCCCCATCTTTGAATCGATTGCACCACTCCTCAAAAGGATGAAAAGAATTGTTTTGGCTTACCTATGAATGAGGTAGAGCGTTTTATTTATAATGAAATAATATTACAAAATAGGAAACGAACAAAATAGGAAACGAAGATAAAAAAAAAGCATTAAATCTGTGATTGACATAATCACAGATTTCATACACACTACCCTAATTATAATATCACTATTTCCTAATTCCAACACTACCATAATTATAATATCACTATTTCCTAATTCCAACACTCCCCCCTTAAGTTGGTGTGAAAATATTCAATAAACGCAGTTTGCTTATAGATGGCTAGAGTAATGTTGGGCCTACAAACTTGGTGAACATATCTGCTAACTGCTCAAAAGAAGAGACAAAGGATGGTCTCCCACACTAATCTGAACCTTCTCTCGAATGAAATGTATATCAACCTCTATATGCTTAGTACGCTCATGTAGGACAGAATCAAAAGACAGTATGATAGCAGACTACTTGTCACAAAACAAAGACACTGGAGCAGTCTCCTCAAATCTCAACTCTACCAAAATAGAACGTAGCCATAGAATCTCACAAGTGCCTTGTGCCATAGCCCTAACTCAACTTCTGCAAAAAACCATGTTAGAATTTACCACTCACCTACTACCTCCACTATCTTTCTCCACACCTACCACCTCCACTATACCACTCACCTACTACCTCCACTATTTTTCTCCACACCTACCACCTCCACTATCACACACTCCACTACCATCTTCTCCTCTATATATAGGAGTTGTAATATACAGAATAATATCAATCTTGTAATCCATCAATCAATAATACATCAATTTATTTTGACATGGTATCAGAGCAGACAGAGCTATAAGATTTAGGCCTATACTCCTCTCTTTCTGGCGGGCAGCCGGCCGGCAACCTTGCCTTCGCTGCCCGCTGGAGTTTTTCAACACATACCACAAACACATACCAGAAACTCTTTCTTTGTTTCCTCATCTTTCAGTCGATTCCACGCCACAGCACCCGCGTTCGTCCCTCGCAGCAACTCCTCTTCTTCTTCGCCTCGGGCCACCGCTGTGACTCAGTCCCAGCCCAGGATCGCTCAGTTCTCCACAGCTTCAGTTCTCCTTTACCCGTTAATTCAAATTTGCAAGCTAGTTTTGACTTATCTCCTCCGCGAACGATGGTTCTGAGCGATCTTGCTTGCTCCTACGCTGCTCTCATCCTCCACGACGATGGCATCCCTGTCACCGCAGAGAAGATTGCGACACTGGTTAAGGCTGCCAACGTGCCTATAGAATCGTCCTGGCCAGGCCTCTTTGCCAAGCTTTTTGAGAAGAGGAACATCGATGACCTCATCATGAACGTTGGATCTGGTGGTCCTCCGCCAATTTCTCAGGTGGATCTACAACTTATGTGGATTCCCCTTCTGGTGGTAGGTTTTGCTTCCCTGCCGGAAATTCCCAGTTACTAGGCCCTGCTGCTACAGTTTCATCCCAGTATCCAAGGCCATATGTTGTTAGCCTTCCTCCCGATGGTAGCAATAATATTGGTGTTGATAACAGTAGAAAATGGGCTAGGCAGGGTCTCGACCTCAATGTTGGCCCTGTAAGTATAGACATAGAAGGCAGAGAAGAAACATTACCTCTTGCATCGAGGCAACTTTCTGTTGCCAGTTCACAGGTGCTAGCAGAGGAGCAAGCAATGGAAAAGAAAATGGAAAAACGAGAAACCAACACCATCTCCGAAGAAGAACCCACAACGGCCCATGCCATCGCCGATTCATCACCCGCTCGATCTCCCAGTCCCAGTCCTAGTCCTCCTCGGGACCCCACACCATCGTTGCCGTCGGCTCGATCGCGGGCCGAATCATCGGTATCGTCAGATCTGCGTCATCGGACGTCTCTCAGCCATGGATCCTCCCCTAGGGAAAACCCACCGGAAAACGTGAAACCTCCGTCGCCGCAGCAGGTGGTGAACAGATTTGTGAGGGAAAGCAGCGTTAGGGTTAAGAATCTGGGGATTAGTTTTCTGCTTGCTTTCGTTCGCAGTGATGGCCTCAGACAAGAATAAAGTGATGGCCTCAGACAAGAATAAAGGTTGGGCTCTCGATTCCTTCTACCAATACAAAGAGGCCATACACACACCTATTTTAAGCGCCATCTATCCACACCTCATTATTACGCATTCCACTATCCTTTTTCTATATTTTATTTTATCTTTCTTCTTTAAAAAA